TATATATATATATATATATATATATATATATATATATATATATATATATATATATATATATATATATATATATATATATATATATATATATATATATATATATATATATATATATATATATATATATATATATATATATATATATACATACACAATATGTAATCAATAAGTTCTAAATACATTGCATAATGTTGAGTAGTATAGTCAAAAACATCATACTTTACAATAATAAACTTGTGAGGCTGAAACAAGATTTAGTGAGTTTGGCTTACCACTATGCAATTTGTTTAAAAAAACAAACTTACGCGGTAATAGAATAAAGTTGAATAGTCTACATTTTTGAAAACCAACTTGGTATACTAAAATTCATGTACATCTTGGCATAAAAGAAACATTCATTAGCTAAAAGAGAAACTCATTTTTCCTTTGAGATGGAAAAGATATTATTATTTCAAATGCAAAATGTAAGAATAACAAACATTAAGGTTTTGCCAAAGGTCAAGATGTCCAAAAATTTATTTTTATAATAGCTCCAAAACTATGTGAGGGATAAATTTAAACTGCTCCCCTAGATCCCGATTTCTCATTGGTTGTCCCAAAATAAAATCGAACAAGGTTAGTAAAAATGGCGGATAAATTCAAATTGTGATGTTGACATACACGAAAAATAACCGATATACGGATTGTTCTGTATATTTTTGGATCAATTTATGTCTTGCATTACTACATTTTATGAGTTCAGGTAAGATATGTTAATAAAATACCCACGTACTAATAATTTGAGCTGAAATATGTGCGGCAGTGAATCACTCCCGCACTTGCACCATTACGGAGATCATAAGGAATTGTAGCCCCCCCCCCCCCCCCCAAAAAAAAAAAAACATGAGAGGGCTACATTATTGCAGCTATTGTTGACCCATCAAATGAAGATAACTCTGAGTATATTAAATTGGCTAAATTTTGAAACGATACATGTGGCTGTACTGAATTTTATGGCAAATCGTGTAGCATATCGAGAATCGTGCAGACAATTGTCTAGATAGAAGAACTAGATATCGTGTTCAAGTCTCAACATATTTGCTTATAGAAGACCAGACTCACACACAGAGGCAAAGAAACAGAAGATGAAAAAAGACAAGAATTCTTTTTCAAAGCGTGAATATAGGAAAACATTTTGCATTTTACATGGTATTGAGAAGAAGAAAACGTATGCGATAGCAAATATTTAGATGTTAATGGTTTGATTCTATGTGTTCATGCTAGAGTTTGTAAACCTCCATCGCATAGTTTGACATACAAAGAAAGAGAATGCCATAAAACGTTTTGTGTCTATATGCTAGAGACAATATTGTAGCTCTTCCTGGTTAAACAAACCACAGAATATCCAGAGTTCTTCTTTTACCTTCAGACAAACGAAAGAAGACATCTTCAAAATTATGCTTACGTTGGAGGCGAACTGAATCAGAAAGATACAAGTTTATGTTCCTTTCTAAGAATGTGGAATGACCTTTGTCCCCACATAGTATTTTCAAAAACATCATAAATCTATGTCAGAGTTTAACAAGCTAATTTAGAGAATTTGTGTCCCCGCGCTTAGGGAAAAAAGAGCATGTGCAGTGCTGGGGGGGGGGGGCAGGGTCGGAACCCCCCCTCGATTTGCATAATTATTTAATGTATACATGTACATAAAAGCAAATAAAAAAATGCCAATATGGATAAAAAGATTTGATTGCTAATTATTTAATATGTGTTATAGAAGATTCTTTTTATAGAGAATATTTATCACACTGTAATAAAGATGTAATAACTTTTTTCATTTTATATGTTGAATACTATCATTTAGTAAACCCCTCTCCCCCAAACAAAAAATTTAAAGATTTGAACCCGGGGCCTCTCATTTGCTAAGCAAGAATCATACCCCTAGACCAAAGAGGAACTTGATTATTCCTTAAATTAAATGCAAACATTAGGTCACATATAATGTTTATATTCACGTTCGATATTGTCAAATTTTTACACAATACATAGGGTCTAAGTTAGCCTTTACTAAACAGTTCTAATAGATGTATAAAGTCTGCCGACAACTACATTATATGTAATAACTCTCCACGTGCCCCTGTGCTAAAAATAGTGCCAAGCGACTTTTAATACAATAAAAAAACGGGACGGGACACTTTGAGAGGGGCGAGAGAGGCCATAGGGAGTTATGGAGTAAAATTTCAAAACCTCAAAAGCTTCTTGAGATATCGCCCGGAAACGAAAGTGTTACACACAGACAGAATGTATGAATTTACGACCTTGAACTTTGACGTTTTTACCTCAAAATCAATAGGGTTCTTCTTTAGGCCATAGGGAGTTGCTATGCAAAAATGCGAAAGCTCAAAGGGTTCTCGAGATATCGCCCGGAAACGAAAGTGTTACAGACAACCAGAAATACAGATGAACGGACGGTCGAATGGACAGACGGACGGACGGACAGACAGATCTAAAATTAATATCCCCCACTTTCAATGAAAGCGGGTGACAAAAATCTGCTTTCAAAAAGCGAAAGTTTGTCAGACGGGAGAAAACACATTTGCTTGAGCCATGCAATGAACACATTCAGCTATCTGAAGAACAGAAGGATCATTATAGACTGCAGTGAACCGTGCTGTACAGAAGGCAAACAGAAATATTCCTTACTAGATGAGGAAATGAAAGATACGATACTTTTATATATTTTAAATTTTATTGAATTTCACAACAGTAGTAAATATAATCAAAAGAGGTGCTTAATTAAGATATTAAGCTTGAATTTAAACAAAATCTACAAATATCTGAATGCAGGATAGAGAAGATTTTTAAAGATATCATACATACATACATACATACATACATACATACATACATACATACATACATACATACATACATACACTAATATATGATCATTAGATCCCCGTCCTAACTCGAGAATCCCTGATCCTGGAGCCATGAATCTCACAATTATGGTAGAGAGCTCAGTGCTAATTACAATCATACTAAGTACAAAGTAGTGATGAGCAAGGGTGCGTCTTCCAAAATTATGAAATTCATGGCCCCTGGGTCAGGGGTTCTGTTGTTAGGGCGGGGTTCTATTGATTTTAAAAATAGTAAAAGTAATCCAATTCTTTGAAAATCTTCTCCTCTATTCCTGGGTATTTAGCAAGCATACAAAAAAGCATGGTTATGATAAGCAAGGGCGCCTTATCTAAAATTGCGAATTTCATGGCCCCTGAGTCACGGGTTCTGGTGTTAGTGCGGTGCAGTGTTAAGTCAAGTGTAAAATCAGTATAAAAATGAATTATTTCTTTGAAAATCTTTTTCTCCTTGATATCTAGGAGGCATAAGAATACAAAGTTGTAATAAAGAAGGGTAATTTAACCGGATTTTTGAAATTCTGGAACACTTGAACAAGTCTTCTAGTGCTAGACAGGGCTCAATTAATTTGTTTTCTTCCGAGAGAAATTATTCCCTTTGCTATTCGTCTATGATTATCATTGTAAACAGTGTAATTAAAAGGTCATTGAATAAGATTTTTTTTTTTAAATAGCTAATAAATAGTAAGTCTATAATTTTTTTTTTTTTTTTAAAAACTACTTAGAGTGTAGATAATTTTAGCGTTCAATATCTTGGCGTTTTATTCAATACTAAGTTTACAATACCTATACGAGTATGCCCCGAAACATTCAGAATGCCTCCTAATCAATGGGGCTTCTAACTCTGGAGCGACTTCCTGAAGCGAACACAGAAGCAACCAAAGCGCCGGTACGTCACTTCTATCAGAAGCGACCGGTTACTTCTAGTTAATAGATAAAGATTGCATGCAACGCTCACGTAGACAGTTGCACAGGTAAAATACTGTTCAGCAAATCGCATGGCAATTTTGACTTACGAACATACTTACCGATATCTTTACGCTGGCCGTCTCCTTCTGCTGCTTATCTGCGACCCTATTCGTGACTAACTCTGTCAGTAACTGTATCAGTAACTAACTCAATTGAATCTCGGAGGCCTTATATATACCCTGGATATGTCACGTGATCAGTCCGTTCGGCATACCTGGGAACTCGGGGTTTTACGAACTCAGGGTCCTCTCTGAACGCCCTGTCCCCTTCCCTTTATTACCTATTGCCGTTACAATTTTATTAAATAGATTAATAATTATTAAATGAAATAATAATATGCATTACAAATAACAGAGCTCGTGCCCTATCAACAAAACAGTTTACCTTCCACCGGGTGTGATCAATTTGTTAAACTCTGCATACATCACTGAGCATGGACTAACAATACTGGTGAGTTGGTTTTCCTTTCTCACATTTCTACTCTGAATTTTCTGGATTATATCTTTAAATTTTTTTTCATTATTACACAACAAAATTTCTACTTTTCTTAAGTATTAAGGATAAAGTTTACTTTGTGAAAGTGCAAGGATGTTTCAATAAATTAAACGCGTCCCGAAATTTGTGGTTTCAATAACATCCAGATAAAATTAGTTTTTTATTATATTTCCGTGTGAAATGCTTTAGCAAGATATATCATGATATTATACAGAAAATTTTAGAAAATATTGACTTCTAACCTGTGTCTATGTCCATTTAAAGATGACTAAATGGTGGCTTAAAGAAGAAAATAATTTCTTTAAGTTTCTTTCAATCAGCCTTTAAGCCGTCTCTTTCAGCGAATACTTAAAGATGGTTTGTTGTCCTGTGGTTGCACAACTTATGTTTTTATATTTAGAAGGGATAGGATTTTTAATTATAGGGATTGATTTGTTTGGTACTTGTTGATAAAAATTCAGGTGCCGATGATAACCCAAAATGTCTTTTCTTAAGAAACACTATATGTTGAACATGCATAATCGATAACACTGTATGCTATAAATAATCTAACTCAGGTAAAATTGACATTCATTGACTACACGATAATTTCCGTGAATGATGAATATCAAATGGTTGAGTAGTAATTGAGACAACCGATACCATGTTTTTGGTAACTAAATCATGTCCAAGGGATGTTAGGGGATGGAAAACTCGTGGGAAGAACTTTAATTGTTCTAATCCAAATGAAGTATATCATTGCTTACCTGACGAAAACGGAAGGTTGGGAGAAACATGTACCAAAGGACCTGCAGGCTGGGTTGAAAAAGGTAAATTGTAAAAAGCGAAAGTGCATTTACCATTTCATGTATCATTGCTTTCTAATTTTATTTCCATTTTGAGAGTGAGTAATGTTGCATTAGTGATTTTAACTATCCTAAATAGATGAGGGGTCTTAGAAATTAGCCGATAATAAACACACCTAGTAATTCATGTACAAATATGAATAATAACGAGGGAGATACATGTAACTGTTGAGGTCTATACATTAAGAACTCCTCCGTAAAAGCAGTGTTTATATCTACGTTCTATTTTTTCATTAATCTCACAAAAAAACATAAGCATTTTTTTCTATGAATGAGTAACAAAAGAGCTTAAACATTAAATTATCTCATTCGTTCTATTATAATTCTTAAAAATACGTCACCTTTGATCACACCTTAAAGGTAGGGGAAAAAATCTTGTTATCAAGCAAAAAATTGTCTCAAAAGATAAATGGAGAAAGGATATGCTATTTAAATTGCATCCTTTTTAAATTCATTATTAATCTTGACCCACTGAAATGTATATGTTGTAATCTGAACCCTGAAAACAATAATATAATGTTTTTTTAAAAGAAGGGCACTTGATTCTAAACATTGCATTTATCAATTTTGAGAGTGAATATTTCATAACCAAAGAAATGTATACTAAATAATTATTTAGATTTATCCACACCTTTCAATTTTAATCTCTGACCCATTAAGAATAATTATTTGATTAAGAAAAGGTTTTGCTAATGTAGTCATCCTCATAAATTTTCTGGTATAGTTTTGGCTGTTTAATGATCTTACCTTTCAGATATGATTTGAAATGAATTTACATCAAAAATGACTTCGCAGAGCTCATATAGGAGAAACACTAGATAGAAGTGTTTAAGAAATATGGAGATAACGAACAGTATTCAAGCTTAAAGTCCATTAAAACAATACAAATCGGGAGCAGAGCAAACACGGACCTTCAGAAACATCAGAGGTAGGATCAGGTGCTATGAAAGAGTGAGCATCCTCTGCCGACTGGTCCCAACCGCCGTGTGCTCCTTGTCATAATCGGAAAAAACCGGAAAAATCCGTAGACATTTCAGTGTGTAAATATTGGCCTAACAATTAGTATGAAAAATGTCATTCAGCATTTGACTTAATGATAGATTGTAATTGTATCGACTATAAAATGTTGACTTTAAACGAGACTGTTGGTATCCATGTTTCATCAACTGTTTGTCAATTGTTTGCCTCGTTTTACAATTTGTTCATACGTAGAGCATCCTCTTGTGTATCGAATCAACTGGGAGACAAAACCCCATATGCAGGTGATGAGGGTATATTGCCACATAAGTAAGGGAAGTTGACGATTGAAAAATTGAAGTCAACACGTTTGTCATAAAGTTTTGTTGTTACGAGGGTCATTCCATAAGTAATGCAACATACAGTTTATCATAATAAATGTAGAAGCATTTAATTTTATTTTTTAACAGTTGAAAAGTTCTATTTAAGAACTTCTAATCACAGAAAACCCCATGTTTTTTCCTATTGTTGTTGCAAAGGAATTTAAAACTTTTAAAGTAAGCATGGTCACTACACTGAGCTGAAAACTGTTTAATGATCTCTGCCAAGAAGATGAAAATGAGGGCGTATATGAAAACTGTGCTTCATTACATAAATAGCTGAAGATATGATTTTGATATGTAGAAAGACTAGTCATTCACGCTGTATAGTTTTCAGACGGAGTTGGAAATTTAAAAGAAAAAAGTACAATTAAAATATTGACAGTCAAACTGGTCGATCGAAATCTGTAGGGGCACCAAAAATATCGATGCCGTGAGGAACATGATATCTGAAAATGCCAAATTTCCGTAGATAGATTTTGCTAAAACACGAAACATTTCAAAACAGTTTATAGAGTTCTGACAAATAAAATAAATCTAACTATAATTCTATCAGATGGGTGCCTTGTTTTTTTTTTTTTTTTTTTTTTTTTTTTTTTTTTTTTTTTTTTTTTTTTTTTTTTTTTTTTACAAATGCCTAAGTGAAAACACACGTTAAATGTGCCAATGGTCTATTTAAAAATAAACATGTTTACAAAAAAGATTTGATAACCTTGAGTGATGGAAACCGAAACATGGATGTACTTTCTTATAGCCGTAAAAAATGTGGAATAAAAGAGAAAGCTGTCGTCAAAGAGAAACAAGGGTTCGAAATATGTTTTATTAATTTTCTTTTTATTCAAGAGGCCCAATAAAACCTTAAAACTTATTTATTAAAATAATGAATACAATAAACGTTGTTGAAAGCATATTTAAGAGATATTGAGAGTTAAAATCCAAATACGGCATTATGCATATTTCAGTCGGATTTCGGCAAAATACTGCTCTGACGTCATAGGCGACAATTCGGTAATATGCACACTATTAATGGAGTTATCAATAACAAATGCAGCTAAATTACGAAAAATGCTGAAAAAAAATAATTCCTCATATGCTTTTCAATTACTATAGAAACATTAATTAGTTCAAAGGTATAAGGGTTTTAAAATATTTTAATTTTTTATTCAAAACATTTAGAACCTGTAGCTCTAATTACGGCAATGTTTCGTGATTGGGAAATTATTTTCCTTTAAAAACCTATGAAGACTTGCATAAATTGATATTATATACAAAACGAAGAATAACAAAGTTATATAATGTTTAATTTGTGAATCAAATAAGTTAATACATGTGATAAGATGACAAATCAAATTGCATTGTTATGGCGAGTTTCTTCGTCTTCGCTGCGTCTCCATCGCTATCGTCGCTGCTACTTTTACAATGTTAACAGATTTTTAACATTTTTTTTCTCGCTGACAATTCTAACATATAACGTTGAATATTCAATTTTAGATCGATAAAATAAGTGATTTGGTCGTCCACAACGAAGAAAATTCAGGTTGTATCGCGTATATTTTAGTAAGATTAATGAAGAGCCGATCAGCCATTGTCGCCTTTGACGTCACAGAGTCACGTGATCGCTATCTAATTAACTTAGATTTTCAATTCAGGGGATTTCATTTGAGTCAATAATTGGTTAATTACCGCGATATATCCACAGTAAAAACAGAGAATGTATAAATTTTGGTCATAAGGGACGTAATACTATTTTAATTTGAAATTAAACAGATTTGGCAGACTCTGTTGTGTCTTTTGTTTCAAGTCCACTGGGATATCGACATATGAATGGAAGTACAAGTATCTATTTTTAATTAATTATCCTTCGTCGATATATCTACATGTTGAGTTGAAGGCTAAGAAAACAAAATTGAACTCATACAAAAACAGTTTACCTTCCTTCCAATTTAGATGCAAGGAAATTATTGGAATATATCTCTAAAATAATGGTATACATGGCTACATTTGGCATATATTCAATAAGATGAAAAACGCGCAGTATTCGCCAGCTATAGGAGATAATTTACCAAACGACCAACGGTAGACAAACAATAAAATTAGTTGACTTTACGTCAGTAATTATAACAATATTATTCATAAAATAAATAAATATAGAGGTTTTCATGGTAACAAAGCAAAGATACACACAATTTATTAATGAAAAAATTAAAGATAAAATCAAGAAAGTTCAGAGTAGAAATGTGAGAAAGTAAAACCAACTCACCAGAATTATCAGTCCGTGCTCAGTGATGTGTTTAACAAATTGAACACGTCCAATCAATTGTGTCCCGAAATTCGTAGTTTCAATAATTTCCAGATAAAATCAGTTTTTTTTTATAATACCGTGTGAAATGATAAAGCAACATATAAGTCGTGATATCATAAAAAAAATTTGAGATAATATTAACTTCAAATTTGTATCTATGCCCCTTCAACCACTGGTGATATCCCAAAAGAATATTGAGTCAATGCGCGCGCGGTTTACCTTCAATTATATTTGTATAAAACATTCAGTATAATATGAGAAATACTGGATGTAGTTGAGAATAACAATGAAAACTTTCACACCAAGAAAACCATTATCAGTCGAGGCTGCGCTGTTTTCCTCAAGTACATGCAGTTTTTATGTATTCAAGCAAGTGAACTCGATCTCATTCACATTTAAGAGAGTGTTTGGTAAGTCTGCAGAATTTAGCAAAAAATCAGTTTTAATCAATCTGTAATTAATTTATCTTCATAATAATTATTAGAGAAATCTTTAAATTTTGTATTGGTATCCCTATAATGAAAAAGGGTGAAGATAACGTACAGTGATCGATCTTATAAAAACTTTATATAACATAAATCTGTAATCAGGGCATAAATTCCAGATGTGGGATCAGGTGCCTAGGAGGATTAAGCATCCCCTGTTGGCTGGTCACACCCGCAGTAAATCCTATGCATTGATCAAGTAGATAGAACATTCCTAAGTCAGATTTAGTATTAAAACAAGGGTCAAACAATTGGTAGGAAACAAGTCAACCAAAAAAAAAAAAGACCCAGTGATAGGTTATATTTGCTTATAAGGTTATTATAAACGACCATAGAATTTACGGAATGCCGATTTTAAACGAAGTTGTTGAAATCCCTGAAATATCGACTTATGTGTGAGTAGCCTGCCTCGGTTAAAAAACTGGTCGTACTCAAAGCATAGTATTGTAAACTTATATCAGACACATATTCGAATACTTGTATATTTTGTTTTCAATAAAAATACATATAAACTACATTTGAATCACTAGAATGATTTAATTTGTAAAATGTGTGGAAATTTTGTTTGTATAAAATAACAGTAATTATTTTAAAAAAGAGAGAGAAAATGCGCACATGACGCTTATCGATAGCCCTGCCACCTATTAATACTGATTAGATGACCCAAAAGCCACAACCAAAATACAAATGTATGGTTACTTCGATTGTGATTTGTAGCATAAAAACATTGTTTTTGTAAAATTAATGTACCCAAATAAAATGATGTAGCTGTTGGTCTTTCTGATTCTTGTAAAGTAGCTTGAATTTACATTTTTAGTGGAATTTTTTGGTAGAGAAATCTCAAAAGACCCAAAATGTGACTAAGTGATACAATAGAACAGCGGTTTATAGTAGTTCTTTCTTGCTTCTTTATAAATTATGATACTTTTTATTCCAAAAGCAAGTAGTTTTGAATAATATTTGTTAATCGAGTTTGATGAAGAATATTGGACCTCAATATATGATAGCTATTTCTATCCAGTAAGAGATAAAATGGAGGCCAGAACTAAGTCAGAATATTTGTTCATTGATATCAGTTTAAAGAGTTTCAAGAATTCAAAAAGAAATTAATGGAATTTATAGACAAAGGTATGTTTCCAGGGAAACTAGATTTACAAAAAATTATACATATTTTTTCAAATAAAATTTTCATAGCAACACGATATTTAGAATAATTTTTGAACATTTTTTTTATCAAAAAGTTTACCCAAACCATCGCCTATAAAAACGTTTTTCCTGTTATATAGAAAATGTGCTCTGGAAAAAGATAGATACAAAACAAATATACAGATACTCATTAATCATCACTTTTCGGTATTATTGCCTTGATAATCAAAAAAATTCAAATTCCATCCTCGAAATGTGTTAAACGGATCTTTTTTTTTTTTATCACTCTTTCACATTTTAACTCATAATTGCTTTTATTTTTTTTTAATAAACGTGTTTCTAATACAAATGAATGAAGAAATTGTTGCTTTTAAATGCTTTTTTTCCCATGGTTTGGTATGTAACAATTTTTTTTCCCAAATATCTTTATCATGTGAATAAAATCCTCCTTGCCTTTTTCGAAACAGTATCTTTCACGTTTCTTCATTGCTGCAAACTATAAATGTGCTCAAACGTTCGGGCACGTTACCATGGTTATCATAACACATTGCTGTTAATGTTTGCCTGATATGATTTGACGGAAAACTGCACTCACTCTCCATACTGACGCAATGAATAAATAATTCATATTTTGATTACTGGAAAAATATTTTATTCTTTTAAATTTCTATGCAGTTAGACTTTAAGATAAAGCTTCTTACTATATCAATGCAAAAAGTCACTGAAAAGATAATGCACTACAACTTCGAGATTTTTTTCGTTGCAAGATTTCTGTCCCGAGTACAATAGAGACACCAATGATGTGAACACAGTTCCTTGTCATATTTCAACTGACTGTCCAGATGAAGCATTTAAAACCAATGAGGTTTATAAATGTAAGTATCGACACATATATTGATCTACATGTCCATACTTTTGAATGTACATTTTTGCTTTCTCTCTACAAAAGGACTAGTTACCATAAATCTCTACACAGAAAAGAATCTGATGTACAATGTACGGTTGATTGAATTCTTTTGTTTTTGAAAATTCCTTGATTATTCCCAGATCTTTTGGTTGTGATACAGATTTCATATGTACAGACAAAGAGGTCTTGTCTCAAGCAATTTCATAAGTAAATAGAACAAACACTGTTAATTAGCTTAAAATCAAATAAACTTATTTAGACGTACATAGCTACTGTTTTAGACAAACATATATTATTCATGGCAGACGAAAGAAGGATTTAAGGAAACAGGCTAGGAACAAAACATTAGATTATGAATTGATATATATTTTAGACGCTTTTGGTTGTAAATGATGCATATACTAAATCTCTAAAATATCAAGAGATTGCAGACTTTCTACGATGTTTCAATTTCTTTCTTATCGCCATACACTTTATAAATCTATGCAATTTTATTGATATTTGAATTACTTTTGTTTGTAGCATCTGTCCTTAACTAACCTTTCTTTGTCACTCTATAACTAAAAACATTTTTGATTGATTTTCAGATCCAGTTTGTCTACAGGGAAGGTATGTATGACAGAAAAAATGCAGTGGGGGAAACTTACTAGTGTAGAATTAATAATATTCATTTTCATTCATACGTTGATTCGATGCATCCCTTTGACCTCAAAATAAAAAACCACGACTGATGCTGACACATCTTTCATGAATAGACGTTTTACTTAAGACATTAATGGTCTTTCAAATATAATAAACATGAACATTTTGGCCCATTCAAGCTTCTGTATACAATTCTAAAAATAGTTCCACGAGTACATCTTAACCTCTCTGATGCTAAGAAATCCTTCTTATATTGATTTAATTTAATTTTGGTATAAATTGAATGTATACTCCGCCCATCCGCCATTCTTACGTACCAGAACAAGCAAACAAAAATGCACAAACTATACAATATATCCAACATGTCACATTCGTACAAAGTACAAAGCACGGCCTTTGCCATGCATAGTTTTGTTTAGTACGAAACTCCTTGGACGTTTAGGTTTGGCAGAAACAGAAATGTATCCGAAATACAAGTCAAGATTTCGGCGACGGCGATTTCATTGGCTTATCGAAAGGACACTTTGATGTGACCCCGAATGGGATGTTGTTTGATGTTTGAGAAGAATTAGTGTATTCGCAACATATAATTTTAATTAGATTGAACAAATAAGAGTATTTTTATTATATAGTGGTATCAACACCTCGATTTTCAACATTTCGATGACCGACACAGCTGTTGTGTATTGATAACTCCATTGTGGGTTAACAACTTATTTTGACCTTTTTTCAGGAGAGCTCATTTTCAAGAACAATAACACTTGCTAAATTTAGAACATACATTACATCCTTCCCCTTACAAAATTTGATACTTTCCATTTACATTAGGTTTTAGATAAAATTCATTATCAACTGTAACACAAATAATTTTGATGAAATATAAGTTCAGTTCAGTTTTCAATACAATTAACAGTAAAGTTCATTCTCGGCATCGCACAGGAAGTTTAACACAGCGGCCACTACGGGTAACATGCGCAGGGTCTTCGGCTGGTGGTTCGACATCAGATGTAGCTGTCTCTGTGACGGTATTTGGCTGCACATCTGAAGCTGTTGATATATCATTGGTTCTCTGAGTGTTCTTTCAACGCAATGTCGCATCGGTATATGCAGGGACATCATCTCTGGAGACTGAGTTACTTCGGACACGGGCAGGTCTCAGGAACTTGTGGTTCCATCTGTAGCATCTTCCTTTGTTCTGGATGACATACGAACAAGTGCAAGTCTTTAACGAATCCGCTTGTCCATTGTCCTGATTGGCTCTGCATCATTACTTGGTCTCCTGCTTTGAGAGCTTTTAGTAGTTCCTTCTTTACATATCTGTTAAAAAGTTCTCCTCCTGTTTTTCCTGTGGAAATTTCATCTTGACCAATGTGTCATCTACACACGATTTCAATAGAGGGACTGCAGTAGGTAAGATAGAATTAAGTCTGCGTCCTAGAAATAGCTGGGCTGGACACATATTAATACCATCAATGGTGGTGTTCCAATACTCCAAAAGAGCTAAGTATGAATCTTGAGATTTAATGAAAAGACGTTTCATGGTCTGAACCATTCGCCCTGTCTGTCCATTACTCTGAGCATGGTGCGGATTGGTCGTGGTATGTGTGATGTAATACGATTTCACAAACTCCTTGAACTCATAACTGCCGAACTATGGTCCATTATCACTAATAATGATATCTGAAATTCCGTATTAGGAAATCATGCGGTCTGATCTCACACTTGTCCACGCTGAGCTTCACTGCCATGTTCAGCTTCTGTGGTTCCCCATACAATGATATTATTAATAATTGCTTCTGTTCCATCGAGATCCTGAATCATTTCGGATATCGCACGTTGAAACACTTCAGGTGCGGACATTATTCCAAAGGGCATTCCAATGAATCGATAACGTCTAAACGGAGAACTAAATGTGCAGAGTTTCGAACTCTCATCATCTAGTTTGGTCTGCCAAAATTCGATTTAGGTCACGAGGATCAATGCAAATCCTGATTTTTTCATTCGGCTTCGTAACAGTTACCATTGAGTTGACCCATCTCGTCGACTCGTGTTGCTACACAATCACTCCTTCACGCTTCATTCTGTCGAGCTCTTCCTTGATCTTATCACTCAAGGCTATTGGAATCATGCGTGGAGGATGTATCACTGGCTGAATGTTTTCATCCACCGTGACTTAGTGGTGCTTGGTAAACATCCAAGTCCACTGAATAAGTCCTAATAATCCTGGGGAATGCCATGTGGTACCGTACTGTTTTTCCTCTCAATGCTGTGTATTCGCTGAATGAGTCCTGGCTTGGAACATGTGTCAGCTCCCAGAACAGGATTCACCACAGCAATGTTAAGGCTTCTCTTAGCTTTAAAATGCATTCAAAACATAAATGTAGTATTTCGAGGTTAGTTCTGATTTTTATTTGTAAGATATGCACCTAAGAGCAGCCAATTTAAATTAAGGGTTCTCTCGGATATATATAAACGTGGTTGGTAAGATATCACATGACTTTGTTGATCATGTGACAGTCATTTATAATTTTTTGAAGTTTTTCAAATAAATCGCTTCGGCACAGCCGATTAACACAATAATTATAAACATTTTGTTATATAAATAAATTTGTCTTATCCTTCTGATCCCGAAACTTGCTTGGGAAAAGTGAAAGCATTACTTGAGTACATAATATTTCATGAGAAGTTTAAACTTACCGACACATTCGAGGGTATTTTCAACTCACTATCGTAATTTGTATTAAAATAAAGCCATCACAAATTTTTCCCAATCAAGATTCAGATAGAAAACAAACTCCTTTAACAAATTTCCGCAAAAAATCTCAAATTAATCCTCATTAATCACCTGCGTCAGGCTCTTTTATCCTCACACTGTAAATTTTACCTAAAACCACGGGTGTAAAACAGTACATTTCAAAAGTATATTTTTAAAAGCATGTTCAACTAGCCGAATTTCAATCAAGGATAACTGAGCAAAGAACTTTGAAATATTCGGCTATACAATATTTAAAACACAATTAAGACACGTGAATTTTTACAATAGGGTTCTAAAATATTACATGCAGTTCAAAATAATGCGCAAAGTTTACGACACTCTCCCTGTCATAACAAATCAAGTTCGCAGTGGCTTGACGTCATTTTTCATTATGACGTCCGATATTTGTAGTTCAAAGAAATGTCAGCACAGAGTGCACAGCGATACTCTATGGGAAACAATAATGTAGAATTTCACATATTGCAGCATTGCATCCTTCTGTAGTGGTCCTGGAGGTACCGGGCACGGATTGCCTTGCTACCTCCGATCACGTGGCACATGGCGCACCTGTTGTGACGTGTACCCACACTCTGTATCAGACGCATATTCTGTAAGTCTCATTTGTGTTGATATATAGTCGACGGTTTGCTAAGTAATAAAGTGCGAATCTTACTTAATAGTACTTAATAGTCTAGAGAAATACAATAATTCTATACACAGGGTTGTATAACAGTACCAGCACAACAAATATAGTGACCATAGAATGACTTCAGTGATGAAAAGGTTGGAGCAACTTTCAGGTTTTTTGTCTGTTTTCTTGAGATCTTCTGATGACTAAACATTACACTTTGCTCCGATGTCAAGTTGGAAGTGAATATTAGTGTCCTTCACCTTCACTGTTTCATACCATTCTGCATCATGATTTTCACCATTAATATTCACTGAACCAATAAAGAATTCTTCATCTGATGTCTCTACAGCATATATAGTCTTTGTTCGATCTATTGTTTTTTTTCCTTTGAACTAGCGCCAGCATGCTTTCTTCCTGTGTGTGACACTTAACTGCAAAGTGGTTTGGATTTCCACATTTTCTACTTGTTTCACCATATGCAGGACATCGTTTAAACTCATGAGTTTGGCCACAATATTTACAGTCTTTCACTATCGATTTTTTAATTTCACTTTCGCTTTAAGTCGGTGCTGACTTCCGGCTTGAGGGTGTTCTACCTTTCGAGATTCAATGTGCCGATTTGTCTTCCAAAGACTGTATTTGCTGCTTAGAAATTTCACATGTACGCGCTAAGTTAATAGCTTTCTCCACGGTCAAGTCTAAACCTTCAACAACGCTCTTTTTTCACGTATCTTGTGATCCTGGGTACCGAACACGATAGCGTCTCGAATCATATCTTCCTGATCCTAATAGGCTGAGATCTGACAGAAATTTTTCAAACCTTTCTCCTTATTTCTGTGTCCTACTGGGGAGCTTGACACGATTTAACTTCGGTTTCACGTGATTTTCAAATTTCTCCCTTATCACTGAGAATTTCTTACTATCTTCCTCTGATAGGTTCCACGTTGAGTACATATCTCTCCCCTTGTCTCCTATCCAAATCATCAGATAATTACAATGTTCCTCTTCCTTATTTTTGCTCAACGTGCGCCATTCCTCAACGAGATCCTGTACGTGGCTCCCAGTTAAATTTCGGCTTGACAGCTGGATTCATTGCATTCATCACAATCCTTGAATCCTCCTCTGTACAACTGCAACACTTATTTCTGCAGATGGCGATGGAAAAAGGGAGATATCAACTGCTTCTGACACCATGTAGTGTATTCATAACTCCATTGTGGGTTAACAACACCTTTTGACCTTCTTTTTCAGGAGAGCTCATTTTCAAGAACCATAACTCTTACTAAATTTAGAACATACATTACAATAACGACCTTGTCTGGAACTACACCTTGTCGCTAAGTAAATTGTTGACTGGTGATTTTAATACAAATTTTTGGCCCATTATTTTCATACTGAATTGTCTACTGAGTACTCCATTTATGAATGCAAAGGGCCTACTTGTGTGTGGAAGTATAATTTTGAGTTTAAAGTATATGTACAGATCAACAAATCCAAACATACAATTTCTGAAGACTTCAATAACATATTATCAATAACATATTTGTCTTGAGGCACCGTTCTATAAAACGTCTACCTACCACAATGCATATAGTTTTTTCAAGGATGGTGGGAAAATTTATGTTTGATGGTACAGTGGGGTTCGAGAAATTCGACAATAACTAAAAAAAATGTATAGTTCCCTTTCAGGACGGAAACCAGTCGAAATTGAGGACATGATGATAGGTCATAACAGTGCTATGTAATTCAATTCTGACTTTAAACGAAGTAGTTTAAAACACAACAACACCATGTCAATATTTGTCAATATTCTGCCTCGGTTTAAAAATTGATCGTACAGTACCGACCAGACACAACCTAACAGAAAGCGAACCCAGAGCGCACCCCGGGTTCGCTCTCTGGGTTCGCTTGGGGTCCGCTAGTGCTGACCCCGAGCGAACCCGGAGCGCACTCGTAGCGAACCCCCAGCGAACCCAGAGCGAACACTGAAAGCGAACCCCAAATTCAGTAGCGGTCCCAGAAAGCGAACGCGCGTTCGGTGTTGCGTAACAGAGATGTCAATCAGGATTAGCGATTAATTCATCAGCGCATCGACCAGTCAACATGCCAGTTTGTAATCTAAACATTGTACAAGCAAAGCGTGTGAATGTACAGTGTAAAAATATTATTAATATGATTTTTAAACATGATTTTACATCGATATATTTTAATTCTCCAGACAACATGCAATATTTACACATTTATTTTCATTATTTTTTATTTTCAAAATCTATTAATACATTATATATTTTTATCATCCAGGTAGCATGTTACATGTATAATTACATATTTATTTTCTTTATATTTTTAAAATCCATTAATATATAAATAGACATTGCGTAAATTTATCAGACAATAAGTACTTTTATTCATAATAGAAAAAAAAAGATAATAATGGTTATAACAGTTGTTACTAAAAAAAAAAAAAAGAAAAAAAAAGGTCTTCGATAAATTATAGAATTTTATTATCTCAAGATACAGTAAAAGAACATGTACGTGCTTTAATTTAATTATTTTTTATTTATTATTTCAATTTACATGCACGTTTTAATTTATCCAGATCAACACCGAAATTATCGATCTTAATAATTGATCATGAAAAAAAAAATAAATGTACGTTGTACAGTATAAATGTGAAATTTGTCAATACGTAAATTGGAGAAAAAAATCTCATTTTTTTTAACTACTATGATATTCTTTTTTAATTAATCTTTTACCAAAATTTAAATACATTTAAATACATGTATATAGGGAAAGAATATTTTGTTAATTATCCTACATGTAGACCTTACATTGTATGTTTTTGAATTTTTGTAACTACTTGCAAGTCAGTCAAAAAAAAAATGCTTATCACTTTCCTTCGCCTCGATATATATAATTGTACAGGTTTACATGTTCACGAACCTCTTACATGTACTACATGTAAATTTCGAAATACTTTATATGGATATAAAAAAAAAATACTAAATGGGTACGTTTTGTACTTGTGCATGAAAAGTACACGTAATTCCAACATTAGTAAATTGAATTTGCAAAGATACTTTAATATGAAAACGTACAGATATTTTTTCATTGCATAGGTACCTTTAATTTTAACACTTTAATAATTATAGTTTAAGTGAAGCCAAGGTAATCACGTGTCGGTAATCATCCACCTGTTTCGAAGATATTGCGGGTACTAAGAGCAATTGCGGTGGGGTTTTTTAATTGACACTTGCTAGCTGGATGTATACTGTCTCCATGGTAACGGTATACCTGAGTATATACTCCCCCTACATTCGATGCCCCTTAAGTTACATGTACCTCGACTGGGCACGTTATCAATGAGAAATTCAATTATTATTCTTATATTTTTTTGATTTTTGAATTTGGAAACGTCATTGTTCTTTTGTACGTTGTATGAAGAGTACATGTTCATATAATTTGCTGCCACCTGAATGCTGAAAATCAGTAAAATAGTTTTACGAGAGTGAGAGAGAGAGAGCACTGTATATTATTTGAAATTAAAATCGCTACAACCGGCCCATAGAAAACAATTCGAATACGGAGAGGGGTGGGGGCTCATCGAAATAAAAAAAAAAAAAAAAAAAAAAAAAAAAAAAAAACATCGGGCGTTATTATCTTAATTTCATCTACTTCATCATGCGAGTTTACAGTTATTGAATTCTTGTTTTGTTTGTTTTCTTTCTTGTTTTTATTTATTTTTAAACATTAAGAATTTTGTTTGTTAACATGCCGCTCCAGTATGTACATGTATGTAGTGGGGGGGGGGGGGGGATCATGAACCAGTAACACAAACTATTCAAGTGATCATTTACATGTTTTTGAAAACAACTTAAAAAAATTAATATATTCTTATCAGTGGACCAGTTATTAGTTTTTGTTTGTTTTGGTTTTTTGATCATTGTTGTTGTTGTTGTTTTTTTTTTATAAGTCTTCCGTTCAACTCGCCTTAAAAAACAATGATTTAATGCATGGGAGTAAATTATAAATGATCTGTAAAACGAAACTCAAGTTACACTGTATGAGAATTTTTAATGATTATCACGACCTACATATACAAGTAACGGACCACAACCTAGCTTAAATATAAACTGCTAAATATGAAATCTTAACATTTTACGTGTACAGTATGTCTCAGCTATTTCATAGATAAGATCATAATTCAGTTGTTTGTCTTTCAAACATTTAAATTACGATTTAACAATTGCAATTACAAATGGAAGTTCAATCTTATTTTAAAACGCATGAATAAAGTAAACAAATGAATTTGAAAGCTTTTTTTATTAAGATACTCTCAAATAAATTTAAAAATAAATTTAACACCTTTTCTTCTTTTTTCTTTCGAGATATACTTAGCTTGAAAATTTATCAACATTCTCCATATTGTCACTTACATGTTTATGTTTCGATCGCAATATGAACAGTAATGATCGATTTCACTACCGTATTTGGAATATACAAGGGGCGGGGCTTACTGGCGGCAAGATTAGAGCGGGGTCCGCTTCACGCATGAGTGCGTAAAGCGAACCCGGGAAGCGAACGCCGGGTTCGCTCTAGCGGACCCAGAGCTGACCCCGAGCGAACGCAGAGCGAACCCGAAGCGCACCCAGAGCGGTCCCAAATTTTCTGAAAGCGGACCCGCAGCGAACCCAGGAAGCGAACCCGGGGTGCGCTTTGGGTTCGCTCTGGTGTTAGCTTTTGTCCGGTCGGTACTGTATTTGAATTCTGGAATATTTCTATATAAGGGGGAAAGTTGAGGATGGAAAAGCAGATGTCATACCGTTTGTCATATAGATTAGTTTCTTAGTAGTCATTTATGTCTGTAATCAGTAAAATATTCAAGTATGACGCAGATGTTGCAGACTCTGTGGTTTCTTATACTTCGACATCACTTGTAAATATCGAGTTTACATACGATTGAAATAAGTATTGTTAATTAATAAAACGACGTGGATATATTGAATTGAAAAGTTGGGTAATTCATAGCTTTTTTTAAAATAAACGAAGGGAAAATACATTTCAATTCATCAAAAGGAATAGATTTCACGTCTTTCGATTTTTAATAATTTCCAGTAATTAGAGTATCCTTATTCTTATTCCTTAGAGTATCCTTATTCTTTATTTTACATAAATAAGTTGTTCAGTTGTTTGTGTTTTTTCTCTCCTTGCAGTTCTTCTGCTCATGATGGCGGAACCTCATCTCTACCGTGGCATATTATAGGCGTGGCTGTTGGAGTAATTGCCCTCCTTGTTGTTTTCAGTGTGGTAGCTCTTATCTGTTACAGAAAGAGAAGACGTAGAACAAGTTTGATCATAAATTTATAACAATATTTGAAATGGATAAAGGAAAGCAAAGTATCATAAAAAGTTATATAGTGTCTCAATATATGAAGGCATGCATAAAAAAGATAATTAAAAAAATCTTCTTACGTTATATCCATAGATATGTAATTGTTTTGGTGGTAAATCGTGCTCATTGATATATTTCCGACTTTGAGCAATGTTTTCCTCATTAGTGAAAATTTCTTTTTTTACAATCATACGTGTATGACGATTTTGTTTTTTATAGAAGAGAACTTTTATTAAAGTAATTCATAAAACAAAGAGCATAACAGAATTATATTCAGTCTAAGTATGTTTAATTTGAAATTATCTAAAAGAATTTCCATTTTAGAGAAAAGCCCAAATGAAAAAGATGAACAGATTCCTTTATTAATTAAAGGTATAATTTTGAGTTAAATTGCAATTCAATGAAGCCAAAACAATTTCCAAGTACTTTAATAACATTTATAATAATAATAATAATAACATATTTGTCTAGAGACACCGTTCTTCAAAACTTCTACTTTCCACGAGGCAATTAGTTTTCTCAAAGATGGTGGGAAAATTCTATGTTTGATAGGAAAATGGGGTTCCGGGAAATCGACAACGGCTAAAAAAGTATACAAGTCCCTCACTGGAAGGCGACCAATTGTAATAGAGGACATACTGAAGTTTGATGTGAGTTCTTGTCAGGATTCTATCATCGTAGAGGAACCATTACCAAGAGAGGATATTTCTGACGAAGAAAAAAATAACCGTGTAGAAAAAATTATTTATTTATGCAAAAATATCCTGAAAACAAATCAAACATTTATGATTATTACTTCAACTGAAGAAGCTTGGGAAGCAATTGCAGATGAAGTTGAGAATTGTGACTTTGATGAAAATGAATATCGCTGTATTGATCTTAATTGGAAGAATTTATCAAAATGCGATAGGATTCAAATCTTTCACACCATTTTCCAGTTTCACAATCCAGATAAACCATTCTCTATTGTAGAAGAAAATGTAACAAGATTTAAAATTAATAGTTTTGGATTCCCGGAAACCTGCGCCTTGTTTTCTAAATGTAGCGAATTTCAGAAATCAAAAAGCGGTGTTTTATTCTTCAATAGACCACTGCGTTATTTAAGTTTATACCTGGAAAAAATGTGTCAAACTTCAAGAGAAAAACAAAAATTTCTCGTACTAGTATATATGAGTTTAAATAATATGAAAATAGATATGGACAAATCGAATGACAAGCTTTGGGAAATATTCAGATTATGTGGTCTAAACACTGACAGTGTACGTCTAAAGTCAATCATACCCTGGGAATTAGTCGTAAAAGAAGAGCCGTCAGTCTATGTGTTACAACACGAAGTTATTAAAAGAATAACACTCATAACATTTGGAAAGCTTTATTTCTCAGTTTTACTTCGGTTGTCATCGCAGAAAGATCTGGACGGCTGGATAAAACACAAGAAGAGAACATTCATAGTAACAGAATTATTGGAGGTCGGTACCAAACAAGGCTCGGAAATGGAACCATTTCTTGAAATTGGCGACGAGCAATGGATTGAATATCAGAAAAAAATGGGAAATACACTTTAACAAAAAGGTGAAAAAAAGGGTTAAAACAAAATAGCAAGAATGATACTGTCGGACGTCTTGAATACTAGTTGGAGTGTGGATTGATTTTTTATTTGCTGGTAAACACTATCCAAGTGTAAATCAAGGTTATCTATTGTTTAGGTATAATATTGAATGAAAATTCCTGTAAAAAAGAGACTATTACGCTTTCAAGTTTTATTCCGTGTCTATTGACCTATTGGCATATTCCTATATAGCAATTAAATATATTTAAATTAATATACTCTCTAGTTTCTATAGACTTTGGCTTTCTGTGTTATTATGACAATCCTTATTGTTTTTGTATTTATTCATATGGGTTTCGGCTTTTTTCGTTTCGATGTGGAAAAACATATTGCAGTGTTAATGAAATTCCAATCAATTTTTTTATGAAAGTAGATTATTATGATGTTTTCCAATACGTCATGCTTGTAATTTAACATACATTCTATCAGGTATTTAAAGTTACATTAATTATGTTATTGTTATTATGTAATATCATTAATTATACAATTATTTGCTGTGGTTGTAGATAATGAGCTGAGCTCATTATATGTGTATTTATATTGTTGACTTACAGATCACGTTTTATTTCGATTGACCCATTTTCAAGAAGTTATTGCCCTTAGACTACCGGTAAGAAGGCTGCTAATTTTTCACTCTTTTTGGACTTATTTTGCTGTGCTTTTACATAGTGCGCTAAGTATATAAATGACCTACAGATCAAGTTCGAGTTTTATATTCATTGACCCATATTCAAGAAAATTAATGCCCTAAGTATTAGAACACTTCTAAGTGTTCACCGTTTTCAGGACATGGTTTTTCTACTTTGTTTGTACTTAATCATGTTTTTACTCTTTTAAAATATAGTGTGGTATTGGCACTGGCAGACACGTCGCCCATTATAAAAGTACGTCACGCCTTTGAGTTAATAACTAAGGGACAAGACCCAAAGAGTTCAATTACTGTTCTTCGGATAGTACCCTCGGCTATCAAATATATTATACACTTATCCACTGGCGAGTGGGATAGCTTTTTTATCAAACCCGCGACAAGCCCGAGGGGAATAGTTCCTGTCAAGGGTTTGATGAAAGAGCTATCCCACTCACAGCCAGTGGATAAGTGTTTTATTATACTGATGTGTATCATAATTTATGAGGGTTGGATTTACCAGATACTTCAGTTCCATTGGGGGAAAAAATGAAAAAAAATAATTATAAAAGTTTTGAACAAGTATCTGGAATAAGATAACACTGCTAGAATGAGCTGAAATTCTGACGCCACAATGCTACTGAAGTCAGGATGACATCATAATTAGTCTATAGACTGATTACAGGAAATCAAAATTGGTGGCAAAAATTACATGAAAATTTTCAGAGGGGCGGGTAGCAAAAACTATACCCCGGGGTATACCGTTGCTATGCGTGGAAATTTTCAGACTATGGTATGGGATACCAAACGAAACTTCTCCTACATATTTATGTACCCAAATTAGAAGGATTTGAAATACCCCCACCTTTCAGTATATTAAAGTGTAATTTTAATAATATTTTTATTATTTTAATGAAAAATACAAAAATGATTTTTTTTTTTTTTGCATAATTCTTTTTTCATAAGCTTAATATTATAGGCAGGCGTTTGCTAATATAAAGTGTATATAAAAACAAAAATGACAAGAAATATGTCTTAGTATTTTTTTAATTTTCAACAAAAAATAAGCGTAAAAAACTGGGAAAACTTTATTTCTTGAAAACAGACGGATAACATTTCATGAAAGTCTACAATAAGAATGTATCTTAATATGTTAGCAAAGTGAAATAAACAAATTGAAAATATATGTATAAATGGAAAATATAAAATGCATTTAAAATTTTTTGAATTAAAAGATCCGAGCGGAAGAGTTATCCTTCTTTATTTTCCTAGGGTTGAAAAAACCTGGGTGCTATTTTAGAAATGATGAGCATTTTTTCCCAACCATAAAAAAATCGCACTTTGTAGTTTTCAACTTTGAGCGGTTTTGAAAAAAATGCATGGACAATCGCTTTCCAGGACGTGTCTTGTTCAGAGCAATTGCATTCATCTGAACGTTTTGGGACTATATACAACAGCTAGCTGATTTGTGACCAAACAGTTACTTCTTGAATTAAATAACGAAAAAGTCCAGCTGTGGTTAACGTGATAATTGATTGGTGATAATTCAGCACAATGTGAAGTAATCGCACTTATCCATGCCTCACCGCACACAAGGTGCTGTACAGTTACTCAAACAATTGAAATACAGCTTTTGCTTAAAAGTGTTCAAAAGCAGCAATGTTGAAACTACCTTTTACAGGGGTTTGCTTTTTTAAATGTCCGTTGTACAATTATAAGTAAATTTATATACTTGCGATTTTTTGTCTGTTTTTACTTAAAATGCCGACTTGTGAGAACTTGCATTGAAATAGGCTTCAGAGTGTTCTTTTCAACGGTGTGAGTACAAATTTTGACCCGATAATAAGCACTCATGCAAATCAAAACAATACTTCAAACGGAAATACGTCATAACGTGGAGGTATCCCATACTACCTTAACAGAAGTATAATATATATATATATATATATATATATATATATATATATATATATATATATATATATATATATATATATATATATATATATATATATATATATATATATATATATATATATATTTGACTGTCGTCATGAGAAAAATGCTCTTAAGGTCAAAATTTCACAAAATGACTTTTTTGTAAATTTTGATAGCCGAACTCTTCCTGAATTCAAATATACATTACTTTTAAAAATATCTAATTTTTTCACTGTTTTATGCTCATTTTAGTACGGCGCTTCAAATCAGCATTGACCTTATGCAGCAATGACGTCGCGTGCGTTATTCAAATATAAACTTTAATAACACGTATAAACTCTAGACAATATGATTATGATTTCTTCTTCCAAGCAGCTACATTTATATTGTCAATATTTAACCTGATAACCTGAAATTGACTTAAGTCTGTTCTTACGTGTGTAGAATTCTAGAAGCAGATCCAGTAATACCGAAAAATGTAAGGGGGGGGGGGGGGGGGTCTAGACAGGATCTAGAAAGGGATCATACTCATTCGAACATATATACATGTGCGGTACAATTATTTTACTTAAGGTATTTTTTATATGATATTCTAGCTCATTTAAAAGAATATATAAAGCACTTGTACATTAAGGGGAAAAATGAAAACTACACTGATATCCCGGGGAAAGGGGATAACCAACCCAAATAAAACCTAATGCATGTATTATCTGTATCATCAACGAATTTTGATTTGAACAAATATATATTCACACACGTTACCTTGTGTAAAATTGTTTCAATTAAGTTTAATCCGTAGTACGTAGAAAATCATATATTGAAAAAAAAATGTTTTCCATTTCCAAGAGCATTCTCTGGTTAATTACGCTAAAAAAAGTTTCTACGCCTGCCTGGGTTATTGAGAAGAAAAAGGTAAAAGAGGCACATAATCAAGTCTAAGGATTAGGGTTGTCTTATAAAATTAAAGTTTATCCCTAAATGAAAATTGACACTTTTTGTCAACTTATTTCTTTGTACAAGTAAATCACAATTTATCAAAAGCAATTATAAATGATTCTGTACTTCAATTTTTTTCTTTAATCTTTTTTTCGATTTCCCTCTCCTTTGCTATCTTTAATTGTTTAAATTTAATTTTAAACATTTCCCCCTTCTCGACACTATTTACAAACGTAAACACAAAATGGCCTTGCTTAAAAGAGCCGCTAATGTAATTTCAAAAAGAAAAAGTTACGGAGATTGTGTCTGTAATAAATGGTTCTTTATGTCGAAATGATTTAGCAATGTGCAAACATATTGCTAGAGAACAATTCTCACCTGCCGGACAAGGAACTATAGCACCAGTCATGAGCCATGTTTGAGCTAATAAAATCCGAAAGATTCGTATGTGTTTTTTACTCGTCATTTAAAAAAAAAAATCCGTACATATTTTAGTTGAAGATGTAGAAAACGAATTTATAATGCCTCATTTAAACTGTTCCATATAACGCGTTATCTGATTGGTCCAGACAGTTACGTGACAGAGTCTCCCTTTCGTCGTTATGTTCGTCATATTCATCCACTTTGAAAATCTCGTGCATTTTTTTCAACATTACGTTCAAACGTTTGTGAAACGAAGAATTCCAAGAGCAGCAAAATTGACAATAAAAGAATGGGTTGCAACCACTATTGAAATAACGACCACTATTGAAATAATTATTTCAATAGTGGTTGAGAGTGCATTTCAAAACCAAATACAGCTTGTAACCACTATTGAAATAACGTTCACTATTGAAATAATTATTTCAATAGTGGTTGAAAGAGCATTTCAAAACCAAACACAGGTTGCAACCATTAATGAAAAAACCTTCATTACTGATATAATTATTTCAATAGTGGTTTAGAGTGCTTTTCCAAACCTAAACCAAGTTGCAATCACTATTGAAATAACGATCACTACTGAAATAATTAATTCTATAGCGGTTTTATACGTGTAATCAGTATTGAAATAACAAACTCTGATGTTATAACACTTATACTTACTTTCCCAAATAGTTGCTTTTAATGTATTGACGAGTAGAAACGTTTAATTTACTATCCATATTAGTAGTGTAGGCAAGCGCATGAATATAAGCGCGAATTTACTTCTATTCTATATCCTTTTGATAAGAAATAACCATTTTTTCATCAGAAAGTTTGTACGCATATTTGATATCAAATATATGTCTTTTTTCTTCTTTATAATGTGGATATTCTAATTTGTACAACTATCTGTATTTATAATCTTTTACTTTCCCCAATTAATAACAAATATGAACCTTATATAACAAAATTACTTAAAATTACTAGATCAGTTAAATCACAGATATCCATGTATTGATAGTATTTCTAGACAGAAATTAAAACATAAAATTACATATCATATTTTAAACTCAATAAATTAATTTATTATGTTGGAAAACATAATGAAGAATTAATCCTTATATTTTTCCCCAATATTGGGGTTATTTCAAATAGGCTTACAATTTGGTTTTTATACTGAAATCATTGCCAGCAACTATTAAAAAATGATTTCAATCACTATTGAAATCTTTATTTCAATAGTGAACATTATTTTAATAGTGGTTGCAACCTGGTTTAGGTTTTAAAATGCATTCAAAACCTCTATTTAAGTCATTTTTTCAATAGTGAACGTTATTTCATTGTAACCTGTGTTTGATTTTGAAATGCACTCTCAACCACTATTGAAATAATTATTTCAATAGTGAACGTTATTTCAATAGTGGTTGCAACCTGTGTTGGGTTTTGAAATGCACTCTCGACCACTATTGAAATAATTATTTC